ATACTGGGCTGGGCTCCAGCCAGAGGTTTCCTCAGAAATGTCTGCTGTGGGTCTCCACTTTATGTGAGTGATGCATTTCTGGGACAGTCCCTGGGAGCTCGGTGGCTCTACTGAGCCACAGGCACGTGGCTTGGTCTTCGCCATGACCTTGGAGAGGAGGTGTAGCCACTCTGGCTGATGCTCACTAACTGGCAGCATGGGTCCCAGTGCCAGCCAGGCTCAGGCCCCAGTCCTGCTGGGCATCTACACCGTGGCCCATCTCCTCCAACTTCAGCCCTGCTGTCGTCCCCGCCCCCAGAGACTGCCCATACCAGCTCCTGTGTCCCCTGCCAGCTCCTGTGTCCTTTCTCTTAAGGAGAAGTCTCCATTTTTGGTCTACAAAACTGTCTATCTTTTGTTATTGATCATGTTTGTGTCATTATTACTTTTTAAGAGATCTCGTGTCTATATGTTTGAAGCAGAGGGAATGGTTTCCACGATCTCAATCAGAAGCATTGTAACTTATCTACGTGTGTGATACAGCTGCTGTTAGCTACATTTTGTTCCACAAGCAGATCTGCAGAAAGGCACATACCCTAGAGCTGTGTGTTATTCTTCAACTTGCATAACAACGACTCACATCAAGCCTGTTTGGACCTGTTGGTGACCTAGGTCCAGCTCAGCCTGGGGCAACAGGACAAAGGTGAAAGCAACCTCTAGTTTTTATTTTAACATATATGCATATTCATTAATTTTCATGTGTGAGTGTGTGTGTGTGTGTGTGTGTGTGTGATCGCTATGTATCAGACATTAAGTGCCTTTGTAAGGGACTTACAAACATGAACTGATTTATGATCCCCATTTTACAGATAAGGAAACTGAGGCCCAAAGAGTGGTGAGCCGTGACTGGGGTCCAGAGTCCTGCGGATCTCTCTGCTGTGTGTACTCATGCGTGCCCTCTTGCCTTAGCTTGCACACAAGGGTGGGGGGCATGAAGTCCATGCTCCCTCTGACAGTGGCATGCTTTTCCACAGCCAGAGTGGAAGGGGAAAGGATCGGAGAGTGGCAGACTCAGGGCCTTGCTTGGGGACACCAGCCCTCTGACCCAGACACGCTCTGCCCACTTCCCCCCGTCTACTCACTAGACTCAGACCAAGAGTCTGAGACTGCCAAGGAGGCCTGGCTGCAGCAGGGGCAATGGGGTCTCTCTCCCACTCTCTCCCATCCCCAGCCCACCGTCAGGAGCGATCTGTTCCCTGCAGGCTGGAGGGACCAGGGCCTGGAGAGGAGGGAGATACGTGAAGACAGCTACCTCCTTAGAGGAGAGGGCTACCATGCCACCTCACTGAGGTTCTTTATGTCTAGAGACACAGCAAGATAGAGAGAGAACAAGGGATACAGGACCCAGGAGAGAACAAATAACTCAGAGGAATACAGAAATACAGGCTGGGCGTGGTGGCTCAGGCCTGTAATCCCAGCACTTTGGGAGGCCGAGGCGGGCGGATCACAAGGTCAGGAGATTGAGACCATCCTGGCTAAGACGGTGAAACCCCGTCTCTACTAAAAATATAAAATTAGCTGGGAGTGATGGCACGCACTTGTAATCCCAGCTACTCGGGAGGCTGAGGCAGGAGAATGGCGGGAACCCGGGAGGCGGAGCTTGCAGTGAGCCGAGATCGCGCCCCTGCACTCCAGCCTGGGGGACACAGCGAGACTCCGTCTCAAAAAAAAAAGAAAAGAAAAGAAAAGAAAAGAAGAGAAAGAAAAATTAGCCAGGCGTGATGGTGGGCACTTGTAGTCCCAAGCTACTCAGGAGGCTGAGGCAGGAGAATGGCGGGAACCCGGGAGGCAGAGCTTGCAGTGAGCCAAGATCGCGCCATTGCACTCCAGCCTGGGGGACACAGCAAGACTCCGTCTCAAAAAAAAAAGAAAAGAAAAGAAAAGAAGAGAAAGAAAAATTAGCCAGGCGTGATGGTGGGCACTTGTAGTCCCAAGCTACTCAGGAGGCTGATTCAGGAGAACTGCTAGAACCCGGGAAGTGGAGGTTGCAGCGAGCAGAGATTGTGCCACTACACTCCAGCCTGGGTGACAGAGCGAGACTCTATCTCCAAAAAAAAATAAAAATAAAGAAAGTAAAAAAAGAAATACAGAGAGCCAAGACAGAGAGGCGCAAAGACAGAGAAACAGAGACTGGGAGGTGGAGGGAAGTACCTGGAGGGCATCTGAAAGTGAGGCTTCGGGAGATGGGGCTGGGGTGAGTCAACGTTGGTACAGGAGGTGGCAGGAGGTGGCCGTGCAGGGAACGAGTCCCTGGCCATGGGGGATTAGAGCTCTGGGGAGTCCAAGTCAAAAAGACCTGGAGCCAGGGGTTCCTCCCACTACCCGTGCGGCCCTGTATCGGGTGGGGCTGAGCTGGGGCTGGAGTAAGCGTGCATATTGTATCCAGTCCCTCCTGGCTGCTAGCCTGGTGTCCCTGGATCTGAGGACAGGCGCCCGGCCTTACAGTGCCCTCCTCCTGCATGGGCCAGTTGGCTCCACCCTCCCGGTGCCAGTGTCAGGTTCCAGGCTGTTCCCTGGGGGAACTTTGATCTGGAAAGAATGAGGGTGACCGATCTGGCTGCTGCCCAGGGCCGAGCCATGTCACCGAGACCTGGCCTGAGCTGCCCCTGCCGCCTTCCCGCCCACTGGGACACCATGCGGTTACCGTGGGCTCAGGAGACACAGAGGGGGTCTTTCCTGCTTCCCTTCCCTCCCTTCTCCTCTTTGTCATCCATGGTTTATTCAGTAGTTCACTCATTCACTCATTCATCAAGCATTGGCTGATGGAGTGCGGGCGAGTGATGGGGACAGAGGGACAAGGAGATGGGTCCTGCCCTTTAGGGAGCCCCTCGCCTGATGGGGGGCAGGTGGCCCACACAGACACACCCTAAACAGAGACCACTGCTTGAGAAACACAAGCTCTGTTTTGGAGGAGGAAGACGGGGAGTGTGAGGAGGGATGTGTCCTCGTGGACACCATGTGGGGTTAGTGGAGGTAAGGAGGTAAGGACAGGCTTTATCAGGGAGGGCTTCCCAGAGGAGGGGGTGGTTAAGCTGGACCCTGATCTGGAGAATGAGCAGGAATGTGTCCATTTGAGAAGTAGAAGGCCAGGCACAATCACAGAAGCGCGAAAGAGTTTTGTGTTTGTGCGTTTGTGGGCGGCAGTGGCTGAGAAAGGGGCGTTGGAGAGATGGGTCGGGGGCTGGTTAGGAAGGGCCTTGAATGGCCCCCTCAGGCATTACCCTGTTGGTGAGGGGACCCATGAGTCAGGGTTAGGGGTCCTAGCTGGAACAGATTGTCAAATCAAGATACAGCTGGGGGCTATAGGGGAAGTGGCAGCTTGATGGCACCTCCAGGCCTTGCCGAGGAGGGGTTGGTGCCTCCGAGACCTCCCCTGCCAGCCCCAGCCCCAGTTAGTCTCCACAATGCTTTTGAGGAAGCCCAGCTGGTCTATGGGCTGCAGCGGCTCCAGTGGGCTCCAGGCCCAGGGCTCAGCCCAGCCCCCTCGCCTTGGCCTGGCCTCCCCACCCCCACTGCCCACTGTGACTGACGCAGCCTTTTGCTGGGCTGAAAGCGGACACTGCCTGGCCTGTGAGGCCCCTGGGGAAGGCCCAGGGAGCAAAGCCCTGGAGCTCGGGCTCCTCTTGTCCTGAAGGCGGCTGAGCCAGGGCCTATAAATAACCCCTTCCCCGGCCCTGTCTCTGGGAAGGGGGAGGGGAGGCAGGCCCAGGCCAGACTGAAGGCACCAGGTCTTTTGGTGGGAAGCTGTGGAGGGGGTGAGGAACGAAGGGGACAGGGCCCATGGTTGGAGGCCCAGTTCTTTCCCGGGACAATGACTGCTTGCCCCTGGAGTCTCGGGGTCCTCTGGCCTGGAGCAGCCAGGTTCCACAGGGAAAGAGTGCGTGCAGGGACTGTTGTTGTAAGAGGAGCGGCCAGTCCTCCTTCCTCCCATCTCTGGGTGGGTTTCCGGAGGTCCAAGAGTCCGGATATGAGCTCCGAGGGCCACCCAGGCTGGGCCTGGCCTGCCCCAGAGACCCTTTCTTCAATTCCCAATGGCCCAGGACAAACTTGTCCCTGCTTGCCTGAGACCTTAAACATGTGCCTGTTCTTCCTGCACTCAGTCTCCCCTCCTGGCTCTGCAGTTTTCGGGGTAGGGGTAGGGAGCCGAGTGAGTCAGTGCAGAGCCCTCTCCAGGCCATGGGGCCAGGGCTTAGGGGCTGCGACCCAAGGGGGAGGATCCTGGAAATGGAAAATCTGAGCCGGACAGCCTTATCTGGGCTGGAAGCAGCTGTCTCCACCCCACACCCTGCGCAGCCCCCGCCTCTTAGGGGAGGACAGCGGCCCCTCTCTGCAGGAATAGGTGGTGTTTGTTCTCCGGGTAGCCTGGGCCTCCGCAGAGGCCTGTGGGAAATTCTTCCTTATTGGGGTCAAGAGGGCCCAAGGTTGGCGCAGGAGGGCAAGAAACTCTGCTCGCTCTCTTCTTTCCGCACATCACAGCCATCCTGATTTTTTTTTTTTTTTTTTTTTTTTTTGGAGATGGAGTCTGGATCTGTCATCCAGGCTGGAGTGCACTACAACCTCCACTTCCCCAGTTCAAACGATTCACGTGCCTCAGCCTCCTGAGTAGCTGGGATTGCAGGCACACGCCACTACGCCCAGCTAATTTTTTGCATTTTTAGTAGAGATGGAGTTTCTTTTTCTTTCTTTCTTTCTTTTTTTTGAGATGGAGTCTTGCTCTGTCGCCCAGGCTGGAGTGCAGTGATGTGATCTCTGCTCACTGCAACCTCCGCTTCCTGGGTTCAAGCTATTTTCCTGTCTCAGCCTCCTGAGTAGCTGGGATTACAGGCACACGCCACCATGCTTGGCTAATTTTTGAATTTTTTTAGTGGAGACAGAGTTTCAGCATGTTGGCCAAGCTGGTCTCAAGCTCCTGACCTCAGGTGATCCACCTGCCTCGGCCTCCCAAAGTGCTAGGATTACAGGCATGAGCCACCATGTTCGGCCATATGCTTAGAATTTTAGCAGACCCCACAACAGCCAGGATCTGCATCTTCTAGAGACCTACTTCTGATTAGAGTGAGCCAGAACTGGGGCATGTGATATACATGTTCAAACTCATGCTCACACAACATTATACATGCAAACATTTAATATATGGAAGCATGTGTACACATGTGACACATGTACAAGCACGTGGACAGTAAAGGCTGCATAGGACAAATCCTGATGTCTACATTGACACATGTACTGGAGGCATACATTTGTATGTGTGCATATAAACACATTCCCCACCTACAAGCAAGAGCATTGAAAACCCTCCTGTAAACATGGGTGCTTACAAATGTGCACATACCCCACACACCACCTATCCGCGCCAGTAAGGAGTATAGATGCCTGAACTCCCAGCGCTTTCCTCTACCCAGACATACTCACACATGCACATGCAAGCACCACGCATACCCAGACACATCCTCAGATACATGGGAAAGAGATGAACATTGAAAGGTACACGTGTGTCTGGCAGAATGTCTGCTGGGACGGAGGGACGGAGTTTAAAGGAGGGTTTGGTGGAGCGGAGTTGAAGTTATCCAGAGGGCAGGAGGGTCCCAGGATTAGCCCCTGTGGCTCCGCTTCAGGCAGGCAGAGCTGTGGGACTAGGGCAGAGACCCATGCGTCCCTCTCCTGGGCACTGCCCTGGGACCCAGCTGAAGATAAGATTTGGAGGCTCCAAGACGTGCCCAGCATGGGGCCCCCACTCCTGCACAGCCTTCACCAAGTTTTCTACCTCCCTCTTTATCGCTCTTCTTGGCTCCTGAATCCAGCAACCTGGCAGGAAAAGATAAATCTAAGCCCTGTGTTCCCACCCCTATGGATCTCATAACAAGGCAACAGTTTCCAGGGCAGAGGCTGGATTTCAGGATTTGGGAGGAGGAGGGGGAATGGCGTGTTTGCCAGGGGTGGTGGGGTCCAGTCCTGGAGTGCACGTCTCCTCTGACGCCTCATTAGCTTGCTCCCTGTGGGTGCCTGCAGCTGCAGACCATGACGAGTCAGAGGGTACGGCAGGATGCACACACCTTCCTGACTGTGACCCTGATGGCCAGGCCGGCTAGCTATCCCAGCCAGCGAGACCTCCGTGGGGGTGTGGCAGGGCCAAGAAGGGCCTGACCCTCCAACCTGAGTCCTTCCTGGTGGAGGGGCTTGGAGGGATCCCCAGTGAGGTGTGCAGCTGCCTTTGACCCAGTGAGGAGGCTGATGCGAGCTTATAGACAGGCCGGGGAGACCCACAGCTCGCTATCCCACCAACACACCCTCTGTGTGACCTATTTTATTTTATTTTGAGACGGAGTCTCACTGTCACCCAGGCTGGAGTGCAGTGGTATGATCTCAGCTCACTGCAACCTCTGCCTCCCGGGTTCAAGCAGTTCTCCTGCCTCAGCCTCCTGAGTAGCTGTGACTACAGGCACCTGCCAGCATGCCCAGCTAATTTTTATGTTTTTAGTAGAAGTGGGGTTTTGCCATGTTGGCCAGGCTGGTCTCAAACTCCTGACCTCAGGTGATCCGCCTGCCTCGGCCTCCCAAAAGACGGATCCACGCCTGGGATTACAGGTGTGAGCCACTGCATCCGGCCTCTGTGACTCATTCTGATGAATGGTACCCCCATAACTCCAAGTCAGAATTTGGGAGCCATCCTTGCCTCTCTCCCCCTTCCCTCATTCTCCATTGTCCATCTATCCAGCATCCTGTTGGTTCCACTGATTCTCCAATGAGTCCCCTTTTCCCAGAGGACCCAACCACCACGTTTATTGAGCCGTTACTAAGGCCAGCTGCCACCCCAGGTGTGGGGACAGCCTAATGGCTGAGACAGCTCCTGTGATCCAGGGATGGAATCCAATGTGTGACCACGTGTGTGTGTGTGTGTGTGTGTGTGTGTGTGTGTGTGTGTGCACCATGCATGTGGACCTGGGGTGCAGAGGGCTGGAGGGGTGGCACCAGGCCGGTGGACAGAGCCCACTCCCACCTCAGGTGGGGGATTCAGCCGTCCCACTCCTTCTGTCCTCTCCCCATGCTATAAGCCCTACTTGTGTCCCCTCAGGATGTGAGGGGTCTGGAGAGTGTGTGAGACCTTCGGGGGAGAGGCTGGGGCAGGCAGAGAAGTGGCAGTCCTCAGCACTGAGGTGGCAAGCACCCCGCAGGCGTGGGGGTGAGTGAGGTCACTCAGGCAGGTGTGCAGGTGAGAGGGAGGAGGCCCAGCTCAGAGCCCTGGGGACCACCTCGGTGAAGGGATGAGCAGAAGCACAGTCAGGAAGGTCGCTGGGGAGGGAAAGAGGAGAACCAGGTGAGTGAGGAGGAGGAGGGAGTGGTCCTGGGGGTCCCGAGGGCCATGGGGGGCACTGGAGACCTCTGAGGAGCAATTTCAGGGGAGTGGGGCCTGTGGCCAATCCAGGGAGCAGGGAGGAGCTGCCCTGACCTTGTGGAACGTGACTACTGTCCTGGGAGGTGAGCTGGGACTGGCGTGCAGGAAAGAGGGTATTGCACCACAGGTCTGGGGGCAGGGCCTGGGTTCCAGTCCTGTCTCCGCATGCTTTGCTGTGTGGCCTTGGACCAGGCCCTGCCCCTCTTAGGGCCTCGGTTTCCCCGCCTCAGGCTCAAAGATACTAACTTCCCTAACTTTGTGGTTTTGGCCTGGCAAGGATTTGATTTGGTGAGACATTGGCAAGAGGGCTGGGGAAAGCTCGTCCTGCATCCTGCATCCAGCCTAGAGCCAGAGCAGAGCAGGAGGCCGGCGGGCAGCAGTGGGGGCAGAGCCAGGAGACTGGAGCGGGAAGGGCAGGCGCCAGGGCCCCCAGGCCTTGGTGGGAGTTTGGCCTCCACTTGCTTGCTGACATCAGGGCTGGTGAATGTGCAGGGAGTTCAGCCAGGTTCACGGGCCCTCACCTCCCTCGCAGCCTGGTACTGGGCAGGAGCAGAGTTGGAGGAGAGTGGGGGAGGGGCCTGCAGGGAAGGCTCACAGGAGCCCCTGGGCCTGGGAGCAGAGCTGTAGCCTCGGTCCATCTGTCATGGAGCCAGGTCGGAGGGTGGTGCTGACCCTCCGTCCCGTCCTCTTCCCACCCCAGAATCACTCTCTTCCTCGCGCTCCTGGCTCTTCTCTCCTCTCCTAGGTGCATGTCCAGTTACTGACTTGGGGGGGTTTGACTGCTGAGAAAAAGGAGCCAAGGGGGATGGTCTTGTTCCATCTGCCTTCCCAGAACCCACAGTGAACCCCCATCTCTGCCCTTGACAGAGTCCCTCCTTCAGGCCCAGAAACAGCCATGCCCCGTCCCCAAGAAGTTCCTCCTAGATATTCCCATGTGGCTCAGGAGGGACCAGATAACTAACCTGAGGTTGGAGAGTGTAGACGGATCCCAGGCAGCCGGGCTCTACAATCTGTCACCTCCTCCTCCCTGCCAGGCTTCCCATCCATGGCCCAGCCAGCCTGCCTTCTCCTGGAGGATAGAGAGAAGGCTGGACACCAACCTGTCCAGTCCCTCTCAAGGCTTCTCCACACGGTCCTTCCTTGGATCTTACAAGGGAAGGGACTGGGCTTCTGTGGCTGAGACCAGGGTTTTTGAACTCCAGGTTCTTGTGCTGAGACCTGGAGGGGCTATGAGTGCTGTCTGCGGCGAGAGCAGCCGCAGGGTCTCTGGAGGCTGCTACTAAAGATTGCACCTGGAGAAAGCATTCGGGCAGCAGTTTGGCTTACCCCGTCCAGATGGCTACTTGGAACGCACACACATGCTCACACATACATGCAGCATGCACGCCTTTTGGCTTTTGACTTTCTCATGAAATAATTGCTGGAAGGCTCCTTGGATTAGGTAACCCAGTGTTCCTTCCTGGCCCCTTGGGGCTGGAGGCGGGGGAGGGAACCAGCATTTAGCATCTGTCAGGCTGCTCCAGTTCCTTTGGGGCAATGATGGCCAGTCCAGGAGGGTTTGTGGGCTCCAAACATCCTTGGGAGCTGAACACGATGTGAACAAGCCTTTCAGACCTCTCCTTCCTGCAGGTCAGCTGGATGTGCCTGCCCAGCCTCTGGGCCTCTTTCGGGCAGGCCAGGCTTGGGAAAAAGAAGGCCAATTAGGAAGGGTTTTTTGCACAAAGGAAGATATGTTCCCATTTTTATTTTAAATCAGCTTTATGGTACAGTGAAAACTTAGAGTTAGCTTTGCCCATCATCCCATCGTCCTAAAGCAACACCTGTTTCCCTTCTTCCATTTTCCGGTGATGGTTGGGGGTGTGCATTTGGAAGGGGGAACTATCTGGGTTCAACCGTGAAGAGTATTGAGAAGGAATAGGGGTAGGACCCCTGGCCTGTGGGTAGAGGCCAGTGACTGAGACTCTCACTGGGGGAGGGGGCGATTAGTCGCAAAGCCGCCCATTCCAGGATTTGGAGATTCAGCTGTAGCACACCTTTCTTTCCCTGTCTGCCCTTAGCCTCTCCAGGATCTCCTAACGGAGGTCCTTTGGTGGAGTGGGAGCCTCTACCGACCACTAGTGGGAAGGGCGCGAAGATCTTGCTATACAGAGTAGGACTGGGAGGGGAGAGCGCATAGTTGCAGAGTCGGGGGGTGGGGGGGACCTCACCACCTGTCTCCTCCCTGAGGTCTTAGAACAGGTGCAAGAAATTCCAGGCGAAGGTCCCACAGGTGAGCGTGTGCCTGCGAGAGCCTTCCCCGCTGCGTAGGGAGGGCCCCGCGGGGGAGGGCGGCAGCTCTGGAAGCTGTAGGTGTCCCCAGCAGCGGGAATCTCGGCCCCCCGGCAGAACCTGGGCCTTGCGGGTGACACCTACGAGCGAACGCGTCAGCCCGGGTGTGCTCTCGCCGGTCCACGGGGGACCAGGGCCTTCTTCGGGTGGGCCCGCCGCCCCTCCCGCAGGCCGCACGCCGCTCCTCCGGGGTCACAGGGCTCAGTCAGGAGCCGGGGAGAGGAGAGGCTGGGCGAGCTCTCCCTCCGCGCCGTCCTGCGGGTCTCCAGGGCTGGGGGTGTCCCCGAGTCAGCCCCGGCCCCGCCCCCGAGGCCCCGCCCCGCGCCCGCCTCCCCGGCCGCCCCTCGGGCGAAGCCAGCAGCGGACGGCCAGTCGCGGCCATCAGGCTGATCCTCTCCCCGCCCGGCCCGCTCTCGACCCGCGCGCTCCTCTGGGCCATGGAGCCGGCCCCCGACGCCCAGGAGGCGCGCACTGTGCGCGAGGCGCTGGGCCGCTACGAGGCGGCGCTGGAGGGAGCGGTGCGCGCGCTGCACGAGGACATGCAGGGGCTGCAGCGCGGCGTGGAGCGGCGGGTGGCAGAGGCGGTGCGCCTGGCCGGCCCCCTGGCGCGCACGGTGGCCGACCTGCAGCGGGACAACCAGCGGCTGCAGGCGCAGCTCGAGCGCCTGACGCGCCAGGTGGATGCGCTGGGCTTGGCCAGCGGGATGTCCCCGGCGCCCGGCACTCCCTGCACGCCCAGCCCCCCGCCCGCGCCCGGGGTTCCCGACCGCGCGCCCCGCCTGGGCAGCGCACGCTTCGCCAGTCACGCCACCTTCTCGCTGTCCGGCCGCGGCCAGGTGAGCCCGGGGGAGCGCGTGCCCTGACGCCAGGGAGTGGGGCTCCGAGCCAGGTGCCGTCCCTTTGCCCCGACTGCCTGCGTCCGTCCGCGTCTACGGGGTTGGGTCCTTTACCGGCCACTCGGACTAGGTGATGGGGTCCTGCCGGCCCTCCGGAGTTGGAGAGGGCGGTGGGAGGACGGCTTAGCCTGTCAGCTGCACCTGTCTTGGTCCCCCTCCCTTTTTTAGAGCCACACTCTGTTTGCTCAGAGTCCTGTCTCCCTCTCTCCTCTGTCCCATGACACCAAGGGCTTCACTGCCTGGGGCCACGCGGGGCGTGTTGGAATGGACAACACGCCTGCCTGCCCCCCCACCGTCCATTCACGCTCCCGCTCCCCTGCGTTGCCGCTTCACTGAGGCCTGACGGCTCCGGTTATTGATTAACCCAGATTGAGAACTCAGGCCCCTGGATGGGTGGGGAGGGGAGCCGAGGGGGCGCGATCAGCAGCGGTGTTTGGGAACTCTGCATCGCAGGGGGCAAATCCCTTACCGTAAGGCAGAGAAGTGGAAACCGGCCTTGAGCGGTGCTAGATTTCTGGGGTCAGTGACTAGCCAGAGGCCCACACCACGTGGGGATGGGGCGGAGGCCGACGTGGACCAGTCACTACCTTGCGCATGGGCCACCCAGAGCGGTTAGAATGTTTCCATGGTGTGTGCAGTGGCCCTTGGGTGAGATTTTCCATCCTGATCAGATATGCGCTCTGGGATTGGGTTCCCAGGATCTGGGGCTGTGTAGCCTGCACCTGCTCTCTCCTTGGTGCAATCCGTGGGGCACTCAGATTTCCTGCTGTGGGCTGGGCTGGACCTCAGGGGGCCTGGAGGAGGGCATCAGTTTGGGTCTTCCCCCAGGAGGTCCCGTCTAGGCTGGGAGATGGTCCTATACCAAGTTTGGGCAGCCAGAGATGTTTTGCTCCAAACACAGCAGTTAGTCCCTTCTCAGTGGATATCCCAGCAAGGCTTTGTGCTGGGGGCCTGGGGCTTGCTGCTACTGGTGCAGATGGGGATGGGGTGGGGGCTATGCACAAAGCCTCAGAAAGGCTGAAAGTACTCACTGGTGAGCTTGCAGCCTCGAGGTATGCGAGTGGAGTGGACAGTGGCAAATGCCAGTGTGCTGAGCAGAGGAGCTGGGCTTTGTCCAGCCTGTAAGAAGTTCTTAAACATGCCCTGGTGGCAGAACCCGGGAGCGTCCCAGTGCTCCACGTGAAGTGTCTGGAAATGTGGATACACTTAAGTCTGTCTTATGAACATGACACTCTACATGACCACGGTCTAAAATCACCAGTGTGAGCTCACACGTGCCTCATCAACTGTGTCATCGGTTGTTTTTGAGGTTTTATTTGAACATGCATTTGCTGTTTGTCTGCTCATAGGAGCAGCTGTCCAAATTTAAAAAAAATAATAATGTCAGAGTCACATATACATGTAGATGTGTGTGTGTATATGTGCATACACACACACATGCACACAGAGAGAGGGGATTCTCTCTAGTCGTGATTTTTGTCAATGGAGATTAGCCATTGTTCACTAGCACCAAGCTAGTCCTCTTGGTCAGGGGTTGGAGGGTGAAGGCCGGGACGAGAGTCTTCTTTGTGTCTGGCAAGCCTTCTTAGGGGTGGATGGAAGGTGGAGGGTGGCTGGAGATGGGTAACTTAATTGTGATGGTCCAAGGAGAAAGGAAGGGTCTGTGCTGGGCCATGGCCGTGGTGTGTAGCGGGGCTGCCTTGGACAGGGTTTCAGAGGGGGAATGAGCAGACGGGGTAGTCTCAGAGGGGAGCCCTGACTTGGGGGACTGCTGGCTCACTGATCTGGGCGGACATGCTGGGTTCCACCCAGGTCATGCTGAACGTGAGGGGACTATGGGAACTCCAGGTGAAGCTGTCCTAGAGCAGGTGGATTCATGCATCTGGTGCCCCCAGAGAGCGAGCAAGCCTGGAGATTAGGGAGCTCTCTGGGCAGAGGCAAAGAGTCTGAAGGAAATAAAAACCAGACCAGGGAACTGCCAGGGAGTGAGGAGGACCCGAGAGCCCACTCTTAGCAAACCGGAGAGGGAGCCCTCCTGCAAGAAGAGGCTGAGGTCAGCGAGGACACATCAGCCTGTTGGGGAGTGAGGATGGAGACCCAGGCACCCAGGGGCATGAGCAGCAAGGGTAGCTGAGCACTGTGGGTGGAGCATGGCTACAGTCGCCAGTTGGGTCAGAGGCTCTGCACCCCTTGAGCCCTGGCTCCCAGGGCCTGAGGCAGGTGCCGCCGGGCTGACCCCAGAAGCACCAATCCCCATCTCGCTTGCTGTCTTCCATCTCGGAAGCATTGTCACAGCCTCCAGGCCAGTGTCCGGCATTGATAGGAGGGACTGTGTGGAGCCGTCCACATGCTCTACCTCGTGTGCTGTGACCAACACTACGTGATCAAGAGGTTGGTCACACATACGGAGCCAGGGCTCAGGGTGAGACTGGAGTGTGGACCACGGACAGAGAGTCACAGCCGCACGCCAGGCTGCTGGGTGTCTGACCTCTCAGACTTTGTGTCTGTGTAGTGGGGGTCTGGGTGGGGCAGTCTCATCCCATCCACATGAGCCAGGGATGGTTGTACTACCTGGCATTGTAGAGGTTGGAGTCATGCCGTTCCTCTGTAACAAATGATGACATTTAGAGACTCAGTTGCTTTCAAACTGGGGACTGAAGGAGTGGAGGTAGATTGTCTCCAGCACATAAATGTGCCCTGAACTCAGTGTGGGAAGGCTTGATCAAGTAATCCTGTCTGGCTGGGAGCAGGGAGCCGGGAGTCAGCTTGGGGCCTGGGGTGGATGGTGGCAGCCTGAGGCCAGGCCCAGGCCCCAGCAGGTTGGGCCAGAGTTGTGGCCTGGAAATGTCATCCTCAGCTGAGCTGGAGCCACTGGGTCCCCGTGCCAGAGGCAGCGGAGGCCCCAGGAACAGCTGCCAGGAGCCCCGTGTCAGAGGCCCGACCATGAAAGAAACCAGACTCGCCTTATCTGCCTTCCTTTCCCAGACACACTGTGCGATAAGAGAGTTAAATGCTTTAGGGAGAAGTTTGAATCAAGTCTTTTCAAACAGTGGCGTGAGTGGAGGAGGGCCGGGTCAGCAGTGTGAATTGTCTCAGGATGGGGCTCTGGTCCTGCGTGGGCCTCGTCCCCATGGATGGGCCCATGCAGGTCAGGCAGCCCCCAGAAGTTCTGAAATAGTCTTCCTTCCCCCACAAAAATATCTAAAAGCTCTTCCAATAAGAAGGTCCCTGAAATCAGACTTAACTCATCACCCTTCCGCCTTTCCCGTAAGTCTCCCAGGCCTGGGCTCCCTCATGGGGGACCTCCCCCTTCTCAAAACAAAGCCGAGGTGGGGAATCTTGGGGGAGGTACCAGGCCAGCTCAACAGGACTTGTCCCCAGCCTCAGGGCTCTCCGGCGATTTCTGCCCCGTCCCAGATTTCTGCCCCGGTCCCAGCGTACGGAGGCCGCCCCCGGTTTCCTTCCGCAGGGCCCCGGCAGGCGGCCCCCACCAAAGGACAGCAGTAGCCCACTGGGGGCTCTGCGGGAACAGCTCGTTCCAGCCCAGCCCTTTGGCTGAAGAGCTCTGAGTTCTGTGAAGTTCCCCCGGGGGGTGACCCCAGTCCCCTGACTTTTCCTCACCCTCATTGGCTAAGACAGATCCCGCGGGGCTGGGGCTCATACTGACCCAGGTCCTAGAAGACAAGTTTGCCCTGAGTTGTCCTCTCTGGCCCGTAGAAGGCCAGAGCACTTTGTGGACAGAGCCCTGGATTGGGTTAGGAGACTTGAGTCCCATACTTTGGCTCTGCCACTACCTTTAGCCATGGTGTGGGTTTAGGGGCTCCCCGTCACCCGCCTCCCCTTGGCTTGCTTTCCCCGTCTGTGTGATGACGGGCTGGAGGGTGGTCTCAGAATAGCCCGTTGCCCCTTGACCTAAGGCACGGGCAGAGCCCTTTCCCCAAGTGAGGGACAGGGGAAGGGCAGGGGAGCTTGGGAGTCCGGGCTCAGCCCCACACCCCAGCCTGCATTAGCCCAGCCCCTTTCCCTCCTCCCTTTGCGGGAGAACCTTTAGCAGGGATCTAACCAGCAGAGAAATTACTTCCCAGTCTGGTATAGCGCCTGGTCCCCTGGGGCATCATGGGGGTTGTTGAGGGGGCTGCAACGTGCAGGGACAGGCATCTGTGGAGGACCCCCCCGCCCCCATAGAGATACATATTTCCTGGGAAAATAGTTTCACCCTCAGTCTTTCCCCGCCAGGGCCCTGCCTGGACCTGTGGAACCTGTCAGACGAGAGCAGGGTGGGTGGGGGGGCATGGAGACCCCAGAGCCTGGTGACCTTGGGGGCCGGGGTTCCAGTTGGACTGGCTGGTTCTCCTCCCCCTGCCGACATGGTCCCCACGGCCACAGCGTGGCTCTAGGAGCACCCATTCTGCTCTGCGTGCTGGGCGACGCCCCGTGCTTTTCTTGCGTTCCTAAGAACGGGCCTGGCCTCTCCTCCTCCCACTCTTGAATCAAGAGCTGAGGGGTCACTTCCTCTCCAAGGCTGGCTCTTCCCAGGCTCTGGGTCCTGTCTGCTCTGAGCTCTCCAGTGACCCCACCCTGCAGATGGTCCCCTCACCTTTCTCAGCCTATAAATGTGGTCTTGCCTCTTCCTTCTGGAAAAACCCCTCAGACCCCTTCCCCTGGCTCCGCTCAGGGCTAAAGTTACTGTGCTGTCTTCATTTCTCTGGGACCTCTCCCCTAGGCCATCTCCTGTCCCCTGCCCCCCTGGCCCCCGCCCCGTGCTTCTGATCATCCATGACCTCTTCTTTTGCTGAACCCAATGGATGCCTGGTTGGATTTTCTCTTCACCTTTTCCTCGACCCCAGGCTGGCTTTGGACGCACCTGGCTTTTTTTTTTTTTTTTTTTTTTTTTTTTTTTTTTGAGCCAGAGTCTCCCTCTGTTGCCCAGGCTGGAGTGCAGTGGTGCAATCTTGGCTCACTGCAACCTCCATCTCCTGGGTTTAAGTGATTCTCGTGCTTCAGCCTCCCTAGTAGCTGGGATTACAGGCACCCACCACCATGCTCAGCTAATTTTTGTATTTTTAATAGAGATAGTTGGTCAGGCTGGTCTTGAACTCGTGTCCTCAGGTGATCCACCCGCCTCGGCCTCCCAAAGTGCTGGGATTGTAGGCGTGAGCCGCCGCGCCCGGCCCCGTGGCTGGCTTCTTGATTCCCTTCCTTCCTGGCCTTGGTTTTCTCACCATTCTTCAGGGGCTCCTCCTACCTGTCTGGCTGCTCCTCATCCTCCGCAGATTGCTCTTTTGCTTCCTGAAATGTGGGGGCCTCATCCCAGGGGCCCCAAGCTGCTCGTCCTCTGCTGGGCTTCCAGGAGCCCAATGGATGCCCTGACTCCTGTTTTTCCATGCTCATCCTTCTTTTCTCTTAAACTCCAGACTCAGAAATCCAGCTACCTCCTCAGCTCCCTGATGCTCCAGGTGCCCCAGGCACTAAACGTGTCCCAACTGAAACCCTCATTTACCCCCTAAACCTGCCCTGACCCACCAAGCCTGGACCTGGGAAAGGCTTGGCACCCTTCCTCTCCCACGTCCACCCAGTCTCCCGGCCGGATCCCTTTTCCCCCAAAGCTCCGAGTCCTTCTTGCCTGTGGCCCTCCCAGTGCCCCATCTCCCTTCCCCGGGTTCCTGCCCAGGACTAGTGAAGTGTCTTGCCATCTGGTCTCCACTCTCTGGCATCTCCTGAAGGGTGTTCCTGAAACACAGAGCTGAGGACCTTGGGCTCCTTCTTGTCTAAGGCGCCAAGTACCCAGGGCAGGCAGCTTGGGCGGCGTGGCACTTCTCCATCTGCCTGAGTCCTGGACAGGTGTAATCAGGATACCTGTGCTTTTGATGTCTCTCTGCAAAAGCAGACACTAATCGCTCTGCTGGCCATGCCCTCCCTTGCTTATCCACTGGGCTCACTCCGGATGTGGCTCAGGCACCCCTGCCTCTGAGAAGCCCTTCTTGCCCCACTGGGTTGGATGAAGCCTGTGTGAGGCATCCTTATCCTGGCACGGCCCCCTGTGTTCACCAGCCTGGCTCCCCTACCAGACTGATTCCCCCTCGCAGGGTGGCACCTCCTGCATTGGTTGCAAAGGGAGCTGAGCCATCTGGGTCCAGGGATGCATCATTATTGCCTGGGAACCTGTAGACCAGGAGGCATCTGGGAGAGGCACAGACGACCTCTCAAGCCGGTCATCCTGGGCTCATGGTGGAGCCCCCACCAGCCCCACAGACACTCTCAGCCCTTCACACGCCCTCACTGGGAGGAGGGCAGGACCAAGTTTGAGGACTTCTCCCCTGGCCACACATCCCAGCTGTTTTTTGCTGTATCAGTTTGGGCAGGGCACATGCCCTCTCGGAGTCCTCAGGTCCCATCTGTCAAATGGCTCTGGCAGCACCTACCTAGGAGGACAGTTGCTCTAAGCGGTGTGCCCAGAAAAAGGGCTGGATGTTTGGTAGATGCCACATGGCACTTGCCTAGCCTGCTCCCATTTCTCAAACAGGGAAACTGAGACCCCGAGGGGAACTGATGTGGCCCAGGTCACATGGGTGGGTGGCAGCACAGCCTGGATCCCAGGCTCCCCAGTGGCTCTTGGCCTTGGCTGTCTTGTCTGCCTCTACCTGCCCCACCCACTACTACCGCCCAGCTGGGATGGATGAGTCGCACGGAGCTGGTCAGGGCTTTGCATGATGCACAGCCGGGTGAATCTTGTGTCCCTGCCTCCCAGGCAAAGGCCTCAGCATGATCGGGGCTCTGTGGTGCATTGTTGACCAGAAGGACCTGGTGCCACTGGTTCCTGCTGCCCCAGCATGGGCAGCCAGGCTGGCCTGGCCCAGCTGAGAGGGGCGGGGGGCCAGGTACTCCTAACCCCACTGTTTGGGCCAGCCTAGGGGAAAGGGTGAGGCAGCCTAACGTCATTGGAACCCTGAATCTTGACTTCTGTCCTCAGCTTTCTGGGACTCTGGGAGGAGCCCAGTGCAGACGTTTCCCTCCCAGGGTCTCAGGGGCTCAGCAGTTAGAGTGGGACCATCCCAGCTTTTGCTGTGTGGCTTGGCCCATCATTGGCTTCCTGGGGGCTGTTTTCTCTCCACATGATTGGTGTTTGGCCAGAACAGGGGCGGTCTGGGGGTGGGCAGCTGGCCCTAGCTGATGGGGTCTCGGTGATGTTTGTGTCTCTGTAGAGTTTGGATCATGACGAGGCCAGTGAGTCGGAGATGAGAAAGACCTCAAGCTCGTGCATCATGGAAAATGGGCACCAGCCGGGGGCAGGTAGGGGTAGGGCTGTGGGCAGAGGAGGGGCGGCTGGGTAGGTCTGGGGGTTAAGTAAGGCCCTGGTCATGTATCTTCTGTGCCAGGCCAGCCCTTGGCCTGAGTTGGGGCGGACTCTATCCTGAACCCCAGCAGGGAGAGAGGCTGCCAGGAGAGCAGTGTCATTCAGTAGAACTTGTGACACACAGAGGGAAGTTGGGAGATCTCAGGAGGTAGCGAGCGCTCCCGTTTCTCCAGGAAAGCAAGTAGAGGCTGAGGAACTTTTCTAAGCACTGAGTAGGGTAGAATAGGGTAGAGAGTGGGCTGATGAGCCAACTAGTATTTATTAAGCCGGCCATGAGGGGAAGCTGGGAAAAATCAACTCTGGTTGGAGCAGTAAGATATCCCTGGAACGGGAGGTCGAGGAGGCTGGAGCAGTCAGGGAGGCCTTCCTGTAGGAGGTGGGAGGAGGGTCCAGGGAGGCTGGAGCAGTCAGGGAGGCCTTCCTGTAGGAGGTGGGAGGAGGGTCCAGGGAGGCTGGAGCAGTCAGGGAGGCCTTCCTGTAGGAGGTGGGAGGAGGGTCCAGGGAGGCTGGAGCAGTCAGGGAGGCCTTCCTGTAGGAGGTGGGAGGAGGGTCCAGGGAGGCTAGAGCCTTTCTGGGAGGTCTCAGAACTCTGTGGCTGCCACGGCTGACCACCCACCCATACTGGTCACATGTTACAGGTCCAGGCGATGGATCCCCCGAGGTTGCCCAAACCTTCTCGGCACCAGATCCCCCCAGGCCTCGCCCTGTGAGCCTCTCCTTGCGGCTGCCCCACCAGCCAGTCACGGCCGTCACCCGAGGCTCTGACAGGTTCTCTGGGGAGACTTCAGCAGCGGCTCTGTCACCTACGTCTGCTGCCACCCTGGGGGGCCTCAACCCAAGCCCCAGCGAGGCCACCACGCCCTGGACTCCCAGTCCTGGCGGTATGAGCAGGAGAGCGCGGTCTTGGGGCAGACTTCCCCTTGGGATGGGAGAGGGAGGACCAGGGCTAGGGAGGGGGAGTCGGTGGGCGACTTGGAAAACGAGGAGCCAAGCCCAGCCCTGCCTCTGCCTGCCATGTCTGCCCCTTCCTTTAGCCCATCCTCCTGGGCTCCTGCCCAGAGAGGCTGTGAAATAGCATTATCCCCTGGTGGGGCGACCATGGCGTTTATTACAGGTGGAGGCCACAGTTGGAAGGTGGCCTCTTGCCCTGCACGTTGGGCACCGTCCCCTCCCTCCCTCCCTCAAGGCCCCAGGCCTGACTTGGGCCTGTGGCCAGGCCTCCACGGTATGTCCTGGGGGAAGCCCTGTGGGCCTCTATAGGGAGGGTTTGGGAGCAGTGTTCCCTGGATACACGGCACGGGCCCTTGGGCTCTGTGCTGTCAAGAGTAGGACAGTTGAAAAGACCTCTTTGATGTCGTTGCTGCGTGTGCCCATCCTCCTTTCTCCTCCACTGTCCGCTGGGGCAGGGCCGGCTTAGCCCAGAGGGTTAGCTCATCCTTGCAGTGATGCCAGGTAGACGAGGCAGAGCCGGATCAGAGGAAGGGAGGCTGTGGCGCGCCCTCCCTGGGGCCAGGGTTTGTTACTTCTCTCCCTCTCTCTGTTCTGCAGAGAATAATTCCTCCTTCACGCGGTCTGTGTCGAGCTCTGGCTACGGGGCAGTGACAGCAAGCAAACACAGCAACAGGTGCGTCAGGGCCCGTGTTCCCGTGGGGTCGCTGCGCCCAGGTGTCTTCTCTGCTTTGGACACAGGCTGCCCAGGGTCGGCCCTGGGGTTGACGTCTCCACGGAAGGCTCAGGGCTGGATCTCTGGAGCACTGGGCGGCAGGGTTGGGGGTAAGGTCTGAGCAGGGGGAGTGAGGCAGTGGGCCTCGGTGGAGAGCTTCATTTGGAGAAATATGGCCACAGGCTGGTTTCTTTGTGGACCCTTCAAGTCAGTCCAAAGACTGGAGGAGGGGTCGGGCGCGGTGGCTCACGCCTATAATTCCAGCACTTCGGGAGGCCGAGGTGGGCAGATCACCTGAGGTCAAGAGTTCAAGACCAGCCTGGCCAACATGGCGAAACCCCGTCTCCACTAAAAATACAAAAATTAGCCGGGCATGGTGGCGGGCGCCTGTAATCCCAGCTACTTGGGAGGTTGAGGCAGGAGAATCACTTGAACCCGGGAAGTGGAGGTTGCAGTGAGCCGAGGTAGTGCCTCTGCACTCCAGCCTAGGCAACGGAATAAGACTCTGTCTCAAAAAAAAAAGAAAAAAAGATTGGAGGAGGCAGGAGGGGGAGGACAGGAGCTTTGTCTTCTATCCCAGCCAGCTGGGGTCCCTCGGAGCCCGGAACTTCCTGCCCACGGGCTGCAGGCAGGGGCAGGTGAGCGGGGCCTTCCCTGTAGGGCAGACCTCCCGCCCCAGCCAGCGGGACTGTGATTGGGGGTGGGGGTAGGGTAGCAGGCTTGGCTTTTTTTTTTTTTTTCTTTAATAATAAAAGGAGAATTGTGACTTTCTGGCAAACTGTTCTGGAGAAAACAAAGGTGGTCTTTTCTCATGGTGGTGGAGGTCGGAGGCCTGGTCCCTCCGGGGCTGGTTCTGAGCACACCTCCTGCCTGTGGAGGGGGGTCTCCTTGTCCTCCCCAGGCACTGACACCTGCAAAGGGGTGTTTATGTCCAGATCGGGGGCCCAGTGTCGCTTCTGAGTTGAGCCTATTGGCCAGGCCCTCCAGGCAGCGCAATTCGGAAAACCTGCTAAACCAGGTGGGGACCAGAGCAAGGGGGCCTCCTCTCTGAGCACCCATCACGGTCCAGGCTGCCTTGTCCACTCAGTGCGATGGAGACCCAGGGGCCTGGTGAGCTAGTGATGCCTGCTGGGCCCAGGTCCCAACTCCGCGATTCTCTCCTCAGCCCACCGCTGGTGACACCACCCCAGTCACCAGTGTCCCCGCAGCCGCCAGCCACAACTCAGGTCCATCGGCAGGGGGAGCGTCGCAGGGAGCTGGTGAGGTCACAGACGCTGCCCCGCACCTCGGGGGCGCAGGCCCGGAAGGCGTTATTTGAGAAGTGGGAGCAGGAAACAGCGGCTGGCAAGTACGGATGCTCACTCACAGATAGGCCGGGCCCCCACACTGTGCCCAGACCCAGACAGGGGTGGAGTGGGTGCAGCAGAGCAAGTTTCAGCCCTGTCCTGTTCCCCAGGGCGCTGTTGCCCAAGACAAGATCTCTTGGGCAAGGCACAAAGTTAGGGCTGGACCACAGGGCAGGTTGGGGGGACAGGGGGCCCCAGTTGTTGGGGGAAGACGGCTATGAGGCCAGGGAGCCAGGAAGCCCTGGTGAGAGCCCCTCTCTCCTCCTCCATTCCTGAGGCCCCCTGTCCTGTCACTGGTGCCCCCAGGCTGCCCTCACACCCACATTCCCCACGGGTTGTGGGTTCTTTAGTTTCTGGGCATGACCGGGGACTGGGTGGCGACTGGGATTCCTGGCCAGAGGGGGGAGGCCTAGCGTGGGATTGGTCTTGCCTGAGGACTGAAGGTGATGCCATGGGGCCAAGCGGCCTCCAGCCCGCTACTAGGTCTTGAGAGACCTCGGGTCTTGAGAGATTCTCGGGCTCCAGCCCACCTTTGCATGTTCAGCCAGTCCTCGTGTCAGTGCATGGTATTGATGTCTGCTGTGTGCAGAGTGTGATCAAGCCATGTATGATGCATGGATGGTGCAGGGTGTGGCCCAAGCATGGTATTGATGCCTGCTGTGTGCAGGGTGTGGCCCAAGCATGGTATTGATGCCTGCTGTGTGCAGGGTGTGGCCCAGGCCTTGTGGGATAATGAAGATAACAGCCAGTCCCTGCTCGACTCTAGTGAGGGAGACCGACCCAGGACGTGTCCCTACTCGCCCCAAACAACCTGGTCTAGGCCATTAGGGACTGTCTTTGAGGCCCAGAAGAGGAAATCATCCCTCCTGGCGAGGAAAGAGCCATCAGGGAAGGAGGCCCCCCATTAAGAGGGGGGCTCAGAAGGGGGGGTGGGAGGAAGGAACCGGGAACGGTGTTCCAGGCAGAAGGCAGGGGCCTGGGGCCATGTGGGCCAAGGTCTTCTGTCTCAGGATTCCCAAGTGACCCCTGCTTCCTGGGTGGGGAATAAACGGGACCTGGAGGGCTGTAGGGGTGTGGATGGTCCTGTCACATACCATCAAAGGAGGCTGTGTCGCTGGTATATGGGGCCGTGCCGTGGACATGGGCACAGCTGAGCCTGTGTGCTGCCAGCATCTCCCCTGGGTGAGCAGATCAGGTGGGGGCATCCTCTGTGGTGGTGCAGGGATGGCCTTCCCTGCCCCAGACCCGCAGCAGGCCTGCCATCTCTCCGCAGGGGGAAAGGCGAGACCCGGGCCAGGCTGAAGCGGTCGCAGAGCTTCGGCGTGGCCAGCGCCAGCAGCATCAAGCAGATCCTGCTCGAGTGGTGCCGCAGCAAGACACTGGGCTACCAGGTGAGCCCCGGCTCCCCTCCGGCTGCTGGGACCCCCAACCAAAGACCTGACCAAGCATTGCCACTGTCCTTGTTCTCCCGCCTGGGCAGGAACCTGCTGAGGTTGGGGTTAAGGGGTAGGAACCACAGTAATTATGCCTTCCGAGTGGGTGCCTCGCTGCCCGTGGCGTGTGCTGAGAAACTCCAGGAATCCGGTGTCTAGGCCCCTGCACTGACCCCACTCACCCCGTTGCAGCACGTGGACCTGCAGAACTTCTCCTCCAGCTGGAGCGACGGCATGGCCTTCTGCGCCCTGGTACACTCCTTCTTCCCCGACGCCTTCGACTACAACTCCCTGAGCCCCACGCAGCGGCAGAAGAACTTTGAGCTGGCCTTCACCATGGCTGAGTGAGTCCCAGCCCAGTCCCTGAGCCCAACTTCTTCCCCAGGTGGGGCATGGGGGCGAGTGGGATGTGGGGCCGCTGTCTGCAAAGCTGAAGGACCCTGGGGCCATGTGGTCTGTGTACCTCTTGTGCAGATGGGAAGACTGAGACCTGGAGAGGGATTTTCCCAGAGTCACGCAGCACTCAGTGGTGGAGGGGGGCTCTGTTCCTGGGGACCTGCCCTCTTTGCTGGGTGCCCAGCTTCTGAGGCGCACTCTGGGGGACCAGTCACAGAGCAGGCATGAGGGGCAGCGGGACAGGGTCCCCCAGAGCTCCGAATCTGTCCTCTCTGGACTGATGGAGAGATGCCGTTGCTTGCATGAGCCACAGCTGCCAGTTAGCAAGAAACTGGATACGATCTGGGCCACTTACAAGGAGATGTTTGCTTCCAATAAGATTTTCCTTCCCTAAATGGTGTTCTAGCATTTACCGTGAACATGCCTAGCTTCTTAGGTCCCAGCCCTAGGGTGAAGACTTGGGGTTGGCTCTGGGGTCAGGAGGCACCTGGAAAGCCAGTCTGGGATTTGGTTTTCGGCCGAGGGCCTCAGGAGAGTTGGCAAAGTCAGGTCTGTCTGCCAGGGCTCCAGCGAGGGACAGGGGCACAGTCAAAGACTAGGTGAGGAGAGTTTAACAAAGGGACTCTTTACAAAGGCGTGGGCAGGAATGAGGTCGTGGGCCAGGCTCCATGCAGTGGCCTCGGGGTAACAGCAGTGCAGCGGATACCAGCCCGTGGCCTGGGTCCGGAGGATTGTCTGCTAAGAGCTGCGCTTTGGGCAAATGGTTGCAGTCAGCTCCCTGCAACCTGGCAGGGAGGCAGCTGTGGATAAATGTCCCAACCTCACTCCCCTCCTGCCTCACGCCAGGGCCTCTAGGTGACTGAACCCCATCTGAAGGCAGAGGGCCAGGAGCCGTCTCTGTGGTTCTTCCTGGCCCCCAGGGCAGGGAGCAGGGCACAGATGAGTGGTGTCCGGGGCTGCCGGATGCTAAGCTCTCTGAAATGCAGAGAAGTAAGGCCGTCCCCAAAGCCGAGTCTTCCGGAGGGCGAGCTTGTTACTCTTTCCCTGCCTTTGTGCCTTGTGTAGTCAGCCTCTGATGCTGGTCTGCAACTGACTGTATTTGTTTCTGGTCTGAGTCCTCAGTGCCCACATTTAAGAGTAGTCCTTGACCAGGCGCAGTGGCTCACGCCTGTAATCCTAGCACTTTGGGAGGCCGCGGCGGGTGGATCGCCTGAGCTCAAGAGTTCGAGACCAGCCTGGCCAACATGGTGAAACCCTGTCTCTACAAAAAAAAATACAAAAAACTAGCCAGGCGAAGGTGGCGGGCGCCTGTAGTCCCAGCTACTCGGGAGGCTGAGGCAGGAGAATGGCGTAAACCTGGGGGAGCTTGCAGTGAGCTGAGATCCGGCCACTGCACTCCAGCCTGGGCGACAGAGCGAGACTCCATCTCAAAAAAAAAAAAAAGTAGTCTTCACGGGCTTGTTGGGTTGAAGGAGCCTCACCCCAGGCCTCACCTGCCTTCCTCACTCCTTTCCCAGACCAACCACCAACCAACTGGCCCCAGCCCACCACCCCGGCCCCTGGGCCTGGCCAGGGAAGGAACCAGAGCCCGCGGGTCTTGTGTATTGTAAGTCTTGCTTTGAGCTGAGACAGCCGCCCCTCTCTGGGGCAGCAGCTCTCACTGTGACGGCTGAATCGACACTGGCTCTGAGCTCCTCAGCCTGAGTTTTTGGAATATTGGGATCAGCCCTGTTATGTTGCCTTGGGTGACGCACTTGGACTCAGCCCCCTGGGGTCACGAGAGCTCCTTGTATACTTTAAAAGCCTTTCTGTCTTGGCTGCTTGGGGTTAGCTGTCATCCTAATTGCAGAAACAGCCCTGGACGCGTGTGTTGTGCAACTGGATCCAGACGATGGTGAGGTGGAGCCGAGGGGAATGGGTGGTGCAGGCAGCGGGCAGCTCCTGAGGATGGGGTCCAGCTGCTGAAGCCCAGACGTGGCAACTGTCAATCAAACTGTCAGAGGACACAGGGTCGCGGTATCGGGGTGGATACCCCAGCACCCACCCCAGCGGCGAGGTCACCCCAGCACCCTCCCCAGCGGCAAGGTCACCCCAGCACCCACTCCAGTGGCGAGGTCACACTGTCTTGCAGGGTTCTTCGTTGTCTAAGTCCAGTGGTGTCTGCTTATGCCCTGGTCACCTTGGTCACCCTCTGCCCTGGACCGGACTAGGCTGTAGCAGAGAGAGGGATGCCCCAGGCCATGGGGTGGTGGCCCCGTGCCCCGGCCTGCAGGGAACACAGCTCCCCTTGGCAGCCAGAGCCAGAGGGATTCCAGGCTGTGCTTCCCCAGCACGAGGTTTGAGTTCAGGGAGCCTCTAGACTTCAACCAGATGTTTCTTCTATTCCCAGCTCGGTGGGGTGACGGGGAGGCAGCCGCGGAGGCTGGTCCAGGTTTTGCCTCCTGCCTTCCTGGAGCACGCAGCAGGGTAAAACCATGGGCCCCGCCTCCCGGCGGCCTGAGCCTGCTCCGACTGTGGAGGGGGCAGGGAGGATGGGTCTGATGAAGTCGCTGAGATGAGTTATTGCTTTTCTGCTGACTCGAAGGGGTGGGGAGGGGCGTCCACCACAGGCCTGCCGTGCGGAGGCCGGGGGGCAGTTTGCTCAGAGCCTGGGAAGAGGCCTCCCCTCATGACTCATCCATAAGATTATCTCCCAGGTACTAGGGGGAGAGGGCTGGGAAGACTGGCTCGCCTGCCTGGGGCCTCTGGGGAGGACAACAGCTTGGATCACCTCCTTTCTTGGACAATAGGCTGGTTAGAAGAGCTGGCGAGAAAGCGCAGGGACACCTGTCTGAGGATACTGGCTGTCAGTGTCCTCACCGATATCCCTGATGATTGCGGCAAAGGCTGTCAGTTTTGCGATATTCCTGAGGTTTGCGGCAAAGGCTGAGCAGACACGCGTGCTGCTGAAAGCCACCCAGGGTCGTGCAGGCAGCAGGACCACAGGGCAGCCTGGGGGCAGGTAGGGTGGGATGACAGGAGCCTGGGGTCTGACAAAGACAACTTCTGGAAGGGAAAGGAGGACACAGGTCCCCAAACCACGGGTTCACCTTGCATGAGGAATGAAACATTTCCACGAGCAAGTGCCTTAAAGGCACAAGGATGCACCAGGGACCTTTGGAGTAAAAGTGGTGTGTGCTGCCCTCCCCCAACCCCCACCTGATAATTTATGGTCCCAGAGATTCCCGGTGGCCTAATCTGTGTGAGTGATGCGGTGTTGACAGCACAGCGAGCTTCCCTTGCCTGACAGGTGTTCAGGGTCTGGAACGAGGGAGGACCAGCCCCTTTTATGGAAGGGGCTGAGTCGGGCGGGCGCCTGACCCTTCTGTACCCGTCCTCTCCACCTCTGCAGAGGCCGAGTGCAGGACGTGCAGCCCCAGGCTTCCCGCTTGCCCTGCGGGGAATGTGTCCTGCTCTCGGGTTACGGGTTACGCTGGAGCAGAAGGGGCTTCCAGGCTATTTGTAGTGCCCATGTGTTTCTGTCTAAAACCAGATAGGAGGTAGTAGTCCCAGTCCTGGCATCCCGGTCTGCATTTAGAGCAGGCTTAAAAAAATAAAAATAACCCTCAAACCCCTCCTCCATCTCCCTTACAGGCCAGCCCTTGTGGTAGTTGAAGCTCACAATAGACAGGAGTAGGAGAAAACCCTTTCAGCCTTTTCCTCACTCCACTGATGTAAGGCGCAAGCAAAGCCTCTTTGAAAATGGTAGTCGGGATTGGCCGGGCACAGCGGCGCATGCCTGTGTTCCAATCCCAGCACTTTGGGAGGCCAAGGTAGGTGGATTCCTCGAGCTTAGGAGTTTGAGACCAGCTTGGGCAACGTGGCAAGACCTCACCTTTATAGAAAATACAAAAAAAAAAATAGTTGGGTGTGGTGGTGCGCACCTGTGGTCCCAGCTACTTGGGAGGCTGAAGTGGGAGGATCGCTTGAGCCCAGAAGGCAGAGATTGCAGTGAGCCCAGATGGTGCCACTGCACTCCAGCCTGGGCAACAGAGTGAGACCTCATTTCAAAAAAAAAAAAAAAATGTAGTCAGCCCATGTTAACTCTGGTTCTTGCTATGGAATGGCATTTAAAGTGATTTGTACTTTCTCCTTTGAACTTTGTTTGATTGATTGATTGACACAGGGTCACCCTTTGTCTCCCAGGCTGGAATACAGTGGTGCAATCACAGCTCACTGTGGCCTCAGACTCCCAAACTCAAGTGATCCTCCTGCCTCAGCCTCCCAAGTAGCTGGGATTACAGGCCCGGCTAATTTTTTTTTTATTTCTAGTAGAGACGGAGTTTCACCATGTTGGTCAGGCTGGTCTCAAACTCCTGACCTCAGGTGATCCACCCACCTTAGCCTCCCAAAGTGCTGGGATTATAGGCATGAGCCACTGCGCCCAGCTAATTTTTGTATTTTTAGTGGAGACTGGGTTTTGCCATGTTGCCCAGGCTGGTCACGAACTTGTGACCTCAGGTGATCCGTGGAAGGCAGGTGCTCTTGAGGGTCTGGTGTGAACTGTGCCTCAAAGACAGAGAATGCTCTCTGCCTATGGGAGGGGGAATTTGGAGCTCCCCAGGAAAAGAAGTGGGTGAAGAGCAAAGGTAGCAGGTAGAGAAGAAAAGAGGGAGCCAGGAGATGGTGGTTGCGTGCTGCATATTGTGACCCCTCCCTGCTCCCCTAGGAACTCCTACACTCTTATGTTCTCAACTTAGAAATAACAACAGTGGGGAACAGATGGATCATGGCCCAGTGCCCTGGTTGCCTGCTGGGGAAGCCAGTGATCTGGACAGTGGAGGATGACACAGGGCATGGCATCCGCTCCCATCTTGACTGTCACCCTGGACTTGAAGACTTGCCACCAGGACAGGGGCCAGGGGTCATTATCAGAGGGTAAATGCAGCCTCTAGAATGAAGAGGGGGT